CCGCGTTTACATCGGTGCGGCGTTCATAGGACTCACTCACGGCCGTGTTACCTGTCTTGTCCTGTTATGTGTTTCTTTCGCAGATATCTAGCCGTTTGTTTTTTGCCCATGTGCGGGCGGCGAGCAGTACTTTGGGGGCGTCACACTGCACGGGTTGTATTGGTGGTCTTCCTCCTTGGGCAGTGGCAAATGGCAGTGTCAGCACAGAGCTTTGTTGCCACCCCTTTCGCTGCGGCCGCTTCCTCTTTATGCACAATGGAATTGTTGGGGGCTTCCACCGGATCCGCCGGTGAGCCATGTTAGTTCTGACCGCATAAACGTTCTGTGCGAAGTCACCGCCACGAATACCCTAACCATCAGCCAATACTCCCCTACCAGTGGTCACTACCCTTACCAGGGTAGGAGGCATTCAACCCTTTATACAATACTGCACACATGTATGCAATACTGCATGCAGCATATTTGACGGGTCCCTGAAGATGTGAGAAGGGTTGCATGCTGCAAAGCGGAGCTCTCTTGTGCTGTTTATGCCATATGCTTCACCAAATGTGGTCGGTGCGTACATTTGCAGAGATCTGCTCAGTCTCCTACCCGATCCGATGTTCTCCTTTGCTATAACGAATAGCTGTATTGACAGCGCATGCTTGTTCGCGATGTTTTTGGCCTTGCTGCCAAACAGCCCTACAGAGCCCTCATCGCATTCTGCCATGAAGGAGGCTGTGGAGCAGATGATTGCAACAATCTGCTGGTTGCTCGACAGGGAAAAGATCGAAGAAATAACCTTGATCAACGTTGTTGTGTCGGATGGAGAGAGTGTCGTCGCCACGAGATTTGTCACCAATGCTCAAGAAGTAGCCTACGGTGAGATCTGGACCTTGAACGGTTTGTATCCGATGCTAGACAACCATGCAAGACAAATCTAGAGTGTGCAAATTCGCTATTCTAACTTCTCAAAACGCTGAATCATACACAGGGCGAGGTAGCTCTTTTAAGAGCACAAAAAGCTGTGGTGTTCGTTGCACGCAACAACTGGACTTGGCTGTTGTTGCAAGTCACAATGGTGCCGTTCCATCTGAGAACCCTACAATGCGGCCAGTACCATTTTCTACTATTTAAACTCGACAGGAGTGCTTTGAGAATATTTGTGCTTTCTTGAACGCGATTTCCTGCTTTCAGAATCGGGGAAGTCGGCAATCGTGCCAGACCCAAAAGGCGAAACAGGCCCGGCGATGCCGGCGAGTCTCTATTTTGCCACGGGAACGGCGTGGGAACAGCAGGAGGATACGTGCGATGAATATCGCATGACTCACAAGGACAAGCGGTAAGCGTTACAATTGGCATTTCGGCGCACAGTCTGTGAGACAAGGACTTCACGTCCGATTGCTGCGGCTGTGACCGATTCTTCTCAGAAGTAAAGTGTCTTAGGTTACCCTTATATAACCCCATGGAGAGCTGAATGGTAACTACTCTTGTGTGTATTTGTCTTCTGCCATGTCTGCTCAACAGGACAGATATATGCATTGTGACCAGCGAGCCTCTCACCTCAAACGCTGAAGATTGGATGCCGGTGCCGAGGAACACCATGATTTTGATAACCCCAGCCATAGATCTCCTGCTTTATCCAATCGCCAGTGTTGGGTATTTGCCTTCACTGCTGCGGAGCCGCCGCAGGTCTGGATCCATGGTACCGCCTCAGGAGACAGACAGCCCATCTTTTGATAGGCAAATATCTCTGCGCAAGGGCCTAGCGACTGCACTAGCAAATAAGCTTGAAGAGGATTTCGTATCTTTTTTGAAAGTAGTTTCGAATTCCCCCGTGGGGACTCCCTGTGCTGCTGACGACCTTCCAGTAATTATGCTGCGCTCGTTAGAGGGCGTCGTCCGTGAATTGGCAAAGGGCATTGAGTCCGGTGATGGAGAAGAAACTGAAAAATCGTGGCGAGCTTTGGAACTGAAGCTTCAGGGTCTGGAGAAGCAGATACGAGCGGCTCAAGTGCAGAGACAGACTGTGGCTGCAATCGAAGATAGTCAATCTCATAGTCCTCTTGGCTCATCCGTATCTTCTGTTGGCATACCACCGACGAATCTGTATCATGCAGATATTAATTCGGAGACCCCAGGTGCCAACCAGCAGTGTTACGAGCTCCTTGCGGGGTCCTGCGCCCTCTTATGTCTTGAAAGCATCATGATATACATAACGACTACCCACGAAGACGCAAAATTGAAAGCGCCCTCGCCAGAGTCACCCTCGACTCCCCCAGTAGCGGCAAAGACATTCGTTTTTGCGGGTATGCAGAGTGGGGAGGTCGTCATTTACGATGCCACCAGCGCCTCTGTGTCACCTATATCTTTTCAAGCACATGTGGGAGGCGTCCTAGCCATGGCTGTACATGCCAATACCTTCAGGCGGGGTTGTGTATGCACTGGGCGAGCCATTGCATGCAAGGACTGCGGCTCTGCGCTGCCGGAAGTCTTTCTAGTGACGGGCGGCAGTGACACCTCTTTGGCTGTATGGGACCTTTCTCCGCTTATATTTGGAGGCCGTGAGCCTCGTCTTCTCAGTGGCAAACGGGTTTGCCTTGACGGCCCTAGGATGTCTATTGATGCGGACGACTTGTTAGCTGTGCGTCTTACATTTCTTCCCCACCAGGGCGATGTCCTTTCTCTGCTGGTGAGGGACTCTTCCGACCGTGCTCACACAGGTGGCAGTCGCCATGACCCATCTACGCCAATGTGCATTGTGGATGCATGCAAAAGTTGCCTTCAAGGAATACGTGCGGCGATGCGGCTTGATGACGGCATGGGGGCAAGCTGTGAGGAATCAGCTGCCTCCCCTCTGACTTCATTACCTCTTGCAGATTTTCATAAGGTTCAGCCGAATCCCTTTGTTGACGAACCGGAATGCCGTCTGATTTTATTTATTGGATTCCAGTCAGCTAAGATCGGTGCAGTGCTCCTAAGTGATTTGTTGCGGTATTTCCGCCATACACAAGTTATGGTATCTGTCTTGGCGAATGCTGTTTCGTTCCACCCAACGCAGCAGCAGTCTCTCCCCCTGAGTGTGTCTCGAAATTTCGAACTAAAGACTCTTGCCTCAGGTCAGCTGAAAGTTCAATTTACAGGGGAACAGGAGAGGGAGTCCNTGAGAGACCTCAGAGCTCCCACTCGCCCACGCAGCATGAGGGCTTCAGTTCGGCGGCCTCACCTTGCCGCTCATCTGGGTTGACAAAGGGTGAGTCATTCCGAAGCCTTCTTGCTGGCTTTGCTCGGGCCCTCCGCAACGTGACACTGCATGCGTCACACGCAGCGACGACCCTATGGTCTACGAAGTGCTGTCGCTCGGGGAGGCCTGGGTGCTTGTACCCGCCCACTGGCACAGTATATTGTTTTACGGCGCCACACGAGTTGGAGGTCCCCCTACCTGAAGGAGCTGCAGCGTCTGCCTCTCCAGGCACGTACAGGGTTGTAACTAGCACCTCAAGTCTCAAGATTGTGGCACAGCCTTCTAAACAAGATGGGGGGCTGAAGATAGAAGTGCGTTTCTTGCCCTTTGAGAAATCCGGCGTGAAGCGTCAGCATTCACATCAGTCTTTAGTTGGGCCCTGGCTTGACGAAAGTGGGCACAATGGCTTTGTGGAATGCCTGACCAGCTGCGGCAAGAATGTCATTTGCAGCGGTGGAGGTGACGGTCGGCTGCTTTTGTGGGGAGAGAATGGGAGCTTGGTGGGAGAGCTCTCAGGCCACCATGGCGGCGTATTGTGCGTGGCATATACCGAGGCCCCTGTAGAATCCCTTTGTCGTGACTTGCGCAGCTGGGGATCTAGGGAGCACTTGCAAGCACAGAGTCCGCAAACCGACTGCTCCAAAGATTCTGATGACGTTACGCATTCCCTTCAGGGTCTCTTGTTTAGTGGCAGCCGTGACAACAGCATTCGCGTTTGGGCCCTCGAGCAGCTTGTGTGCATACAGACCTTGAATGTGCACACATCAGAGGTGCTCGCACTGGCTGCGGACGCCGCGCGCAACATTCTAATTAGCGGGTCTGCCAATGGTGAGCTCTTCGTCTGGCAGCTCGACTTGATGGTTGTAGCATTCCAACTCAACCTAAACGCGTCTCCNAGCAGTTTAGAAGGCCAGAAATCAGGCGTATCTTTCACCGATCTGTTGTTAGTAGCAGACGTCTCGTGTCTTCGCGGATACGACAGCAAAAGTGCAGGTGCGTTTCGGAGTTCTCCCGCTGCCGGAGGGAGATGGAGAGGTGGTTTGCAGTTATGGGCAGGGCGCGGTGACGGGAAGTTGGGCGTTTGGAATATAAGCGAGAGAGACTTGGGGGAGGAGGAATCCATCGGAGAGCCCTACGATCAGGCTCGAGCCACAACACGCGAGGCGTCTCTATCAAGTGATATTGCAGAGGCTACGGAACTGACAGAAACATCCCCAGGGCGTGCCTCAATGCCTACATGTTCAAGCATCCAACAGCGAGGCGGTACTGCGGGAAAGGTACGGATAGAGGAGACGCCGACAGAAGGGCAGCGCGGGCTGTGTGGAAGTCGAGTTAGCGGCATGATTATCACCCCTGGAGCATCAATGCCTTCCCTACCGCCTCTGACAACTGGGGCAGGACTGGAGCCTAGACGGAGAGACTTCTTGCCCCTGCTTGCTCAGTTTGTTGCGTACAAGTCAGTTTCAGCTTCACGATGCCCCCGACACGTCAGCGGCTGCATCGGCGCTGCCAAGTTTGTCGCGCAGCTTTTTGAACAGGCGCTTGGAGCTACGGTGGATATTGTGTGGCCGCGTCGATCGGCAGCGTCATCAGAGTTCCACGGTGACCAGGGAGAAGGCCAGCCGCACCCTGTGGTGTTTGGCCGCCTAGGTACGAACCCACAGCACCCCACAATCGTCTTTTACTCGCATTACGACGTTGTATCTCCCGGGAGTAGCTCTGCTGCGCCGATCCCTTCCGACGGGTCAGAAGGCTCAGCTTCCCCCATTACTACTGCGGCATCTCCGACCGCACTGCCACGCAATGGCGTTCTGCCGACGGGGAACCAGCCGACAGCCCGCAGCTGCCTTGAGACGAATGGGCATGTCGACAACGTGAAACGTCGAGAGAATCACACCAAATCTTCGGAGTGGCAAGGCACGGGCTGGAACACAAATCCGTGGAGAATCCACTGCAAAGATGGCTACATATATGGGAGAGGAGTGACTGACAACAAGGGGCCAATTATCTGTTCATTGCTAGCCGTGAAGCAGTTCATAGCAGAGTGGAGGAGGAAACATAGAGCAAATCAGGCGACGCAGGACCAGTGTTCGCAGCGTTCGGACGGCAATACAACTTCGGCCAGTCAATCCCCAACACCCACTAAGAACGACCCTGCGGTCCCGTTCAACTTCGTCTGGATCTGCGAAGGCGACGAAGAAAACGGCAGCGTGGGTATGCTATTTCTNCGGTCCCGTTCAACTTCGTCTGGATCTGCGAAGGCGACGAAGAAAACGGCAGCGTGGGTATGCTATTTCTTAATGACCTCAGATGCCCTCAGCCCCCCGCCAAACACCTTGCAGTGGCTGAAGTAAAGGATTTGCGCTCGCCGCTTGTGGTAGAGTCTTCCATACCAGTGGTTCGCTGCTTCACGCGCGGCAGCGGCGAAGCCATTCAATTGTTTAGCATTTGTCGCATGACGATGGCATTTGTATGGTCCGTGGTATGGGGTGTATTCAGGTCTTGCTGATGCTGTAGCGCAAAAGGCAAGCTGGCTTCACGGGACGCATTTCCTCATCTGCAACAACAGCTACTGGGCTGATGACGTCACTCCGTGCCTTGTGTAAGTGAAAACCTGCCCCCACCAGCTGTGCACCCGCGTTTAGTAGAGGATTCTTCACTTCGCCCGGCGTGTATGTGTTGGTGTTTATTGACAGATACGGCATGCGCGGGGTGCTCGACATCCGCGTGGAAGTAACGGCTGCCACNTGTTGGTGTTTATTGACAGATACGGCATGCGCGGGGTGCTCGACATCCGCGTGGAAGTAACGGCTGCCACAGGAGACGGCGGCTACCATTCGGGGGTTCACGGCGGTGCTGTAGAGGAGCCAATGCAGGTATGCAACAACACCCGGATTGAGGCCACTCGCAAGTGTGGTGTATCAATCTCGCTTCTTCACTCTAGGTTAACCAGCCATAGCTATGCAATAATCCAGCGTAGGTATGGCATTCATATTGCTCATCATCCTTCGTGTGCTTCTCCAGAGCTTGGTGCACCTGCTGGGTCGGATGCACGATCCTAACACTGGTCGCGTGACGATTCCTCAATTTTACGACGCCGTTCAGCAGCCCGATCACGCAGAGGTACGCAGCCAACAAAGAGTGCACAGCATCCCCTCAGCGCAATGCAAGGCGTCGCACTGCGGAGGAAACCGGCAGAGGTCCCTTCACTCTGTAGTTTGCCTACACACGTCGGATCTTTAGTTTTACGTTGTGCTGCTTCTTCTTCAGCTCCAACGCGTCAAGATTGCTGCAGAATCTGTAGAAACGGGATGGATACAGGATGTCTCAGCAAGTGGAGTCGGCGACCCGCAGGAGCTTCTTCGAAAACGGTACAGCCAATCAACGCGTTGACCTGTTATATCTGCTTTTCCCTTTTAGGTTAGCAACGGAATAGCTACGTTGCATGCTTCAACTGCTGCTTCAACTGAGCGCCTGCACTTTGTGACAGTATGGATGATATGCGCGCAAGAACAGCGCTCGTCAGTGTCACATACGCTTCAGATGCTGCTGGTTTGCTCTTCAGCTGGTTGGAACCCTCCATGTCGTTGCTGGGCATCAACGCCTCTTTGAAGGGAAACTGTGCACACGCTGGTGGAGCCATGCGTATTATTCCTTCAACGGCCTCCGCAGAAATTAGCCTGCGCCTTGTGCCCAAGCAGGTAATTTCTCATTTGTCTTCTTCATATATCTGAGCCCGGTTCATGAAGTATCTCGGACAATGCCGGTGGAGACATAGCCCGTTTTTTTCGAGTCCACGTTTTGCCGCCTCAGGGACCGAAAGAAGTATTCAAGCTTATACGAGACTACCTACAAGAGTCATTCAAAAAAACATCTTCTGCAAGCAAACTGACAGTCAAGTGCCTTCGACAAGGACGCTGCTGGCGTGCAGATCTGGATGCGCCCAGAACGCGTGCGCTCTACGGGGCTGCGCATGCAGCTGTAAAAGAGGTGCTAAGACACGGGGAAACTAGAAAGTTGAATCCAGTTGGCTGCCTTGAGTGAATCAAGGAATGCTTTGTGCCGCAGTTGAGCCGCCCCTCCAATTTTCAGGGCAATAGGGTATGCAAAAAAGGGGTTCAATCATGAATCTCAATTTGTTTCCGCAGGTCTGGGGTGTTGAGCCACTTTATGTACGAGAGGGAGGCTCAATGCCAGCAATTCCGTTCCTCGCTGATGCTCTCCGGCGACTTCCCGGGCCCACAGGCCACGCACAAGAATCTGAGGAAATAGCCGTCTGTCAGTTGCCGTTTGGGCAGGCTAGCGACAATGCTCACCTCCCAAACGAACGGCTGGGCATTCGTCAGGTGGAAAAGGTAGGCAGTGAAGGAATCTGCCGTCGTTGGGGCGCCCAGATTCTATAGTTTGCATCTTTTGAGTGTACCTCGTACGGCATAGGGCATATCCTCTTTCGCCTTTGTGTTGCAGGGAGTCGATGTACTCGCGTCCACGTTAGAGTCTCTTGCGGCGAGGCTGACTTGAAAAAGTTAACTGCATGTTGCATTCCCGTAGGATTTGTTTTCCTCTCCTTAGCTCATGAATCTTGACTTGCCACTCTTCTTCAAGGATGGCCCGAGAGAATTTGTTCGAGGTATCGCCTTCGAGGCCGCCGCCCAGTGTAATCGTGTTCTTCATTTCTATAATGCAGGGGACCGATGCACTAGAGGGGATAATGGTCGGCTGTTGCCTGGCTCCAACAATTACCGCCGACATCTGTCGTATCGTTAGTAAATCAATTTAAAGCAGCAGCAGTCCTCCCTCCAAGGATTCGACTGCACTTCTTGTGCACTCGTAAAAGGGACTTGTCTCGTGGCAATTGACTCATCGTCCGCCAATGCTGGCAGAAAGCTGTTCCGTTGAAAGATCCTCTGCAAGTTAGTAGATATGCCCGTGTCCAGAGCCTAGTTGTCGCTGTAGTACGTTGTTGTTCTTGCTATTTTAATTTCTGATGTTCGCAGCCCCACTGGCGCACGACTATAGCATTTGCGTGAATCCTGCTAGCTGCACATAAGAACGAGTACAAATTTATACGCTTTAACGTCTCTGGCGGACAATTTTGCAGTAGGCTGCACTCAGTGGACTTTGTCTATGGCATGCCGCTTCTGCAGTCTGAATGTGCGAGGGATGTATTGCAATGTGCCTAGCCCTATTGGAGCAAGGTGCGCTAGTTACACCACTTGTAAGATTTTTGAGTCACTAGACAACTGCCTTCTACGATTTAAAGGCAGAAGTACTCACATATTCTTTTTTTGTGCCTGCCTTAACACGCCTGCCGGAGTTGCTCTCTTCTCTGTTTCTCTCCCTGAGCTGAGATGGTAAAGGCAAGCGGCAACCGGACTCCTATGGTTTTCTCTTCGAAACTGGATGCTTTTGTGACGTGCCAAGATAGGATAGTAATTTTTGACGCATTTGCATAAGCTTGCCACGGCTGAGCATCTGCCAGTCATTTGTTTTTCAACGTCATCTCTAATAGCCGCTGTAGCCTTTCTCTTGCTAGACTTAGTCTAAGCTCCAGATGACGCCGGCGCGAATCCCACTCAATCTATAAAGTGAAAGAGTCTTCGTTCGGCAAGAGTCTCTAGAAACAATGGCTAAGCGCGTGGTAGCTCAACAATGACATCAAGCAGGCGTCACCTACCGGAACATCGAGGACCAAACAATCATGTATATTCATTTTGTGTTTAAACACATTTCTTGAGTGCCGTGCTGGACGCATCGCCAGACATATTTGATGCCTTAACTCAGCTACTGAGAACGACGTCTCAAATGGTATCANGCTGGACGCATCGCCAGACATATTTGATGCCTTAACTCAGCTACTGAGAACGACGTCTCAAATGGTATCAGGGTATGCAGCAGCCTCCTGAACAGTCTGTCCCAATTTGCGTGATCAAACCGCAAAAATTTGCCACGGCAGGGGCCTGATGCCTTGCTTGAGCTTCATCGTAACATAAATTCAAGCTTCAGCAACAGCGGTAAGGACGCTCCGATTGAAGGCAGTGGGACGTTAGACAACTGCTAGGCCTTCTCTATCCTCAGAAATTGCAGTTGGACTAAATTCCGTGTGGCGCAGACGAATCTGCTCAGTTCTTCCCTGAGGTATCACATGAGGAAAAGTTATAACTACAATTTTATGTACCCTGAGCTGTACTATAAAGTTTCGCTGCCCTGCACTCGGCCCAAGCGTATGGTTGCCAAACAAGAAGCAATACACGAAAAGCCCTGTGCACATCGATATGGCGGAATACGTGCTACGGGCGGGCGGTAAATGAAGAAGCCCAGAAGTTCATGCTAGCGCCGTTAGGGTNTGGCGGAATACGTGCTACGGGCGGGCGGTAAATGAAGAAGCCCAGAAGTTCATGCTAGCGCCGTTAGGGTGAATAGTGCTTATTCCCTGCGTTTGGGTGTAACGGCTATCCTCTTTGTTGGAGCCAGTAGAGTTCCTTTACTTTGGAGTTTCATGGCTCGAATCTTTGGTACAAACGGTAATGGTTCTTTGGCCCTTCGCAGCCATCCCCTTACAGTCGGCCTTGTATCAGCATTTGTCTCAAGTGAACATACCTCAGTAACAGTAGTTTTGCTATATTCATTCGCCGAACTCTTCAAGACCCTGCTTGCAGCAGGCAGTATCGCTAGTTTCGTGCCGCTCCTTCTAAGTTGGTCCACAACCTCAGTGTGAATGAAACTTTACTGAAAGTTTTAAGGTAGCAATGAGCTTTAGGAACCTCGAAAGTTGCAGCTGCAACGCATCGAAGGTTTTGTATGGCTAGTGTTCCTGGCAGTGCTCGAGGCATCCAAAACCAACTAGATTTACATGCATGCATGAGATGCATAAACCCTGTGTTAAACAGGAATCGTCTTGCCGATTGTTAATTCATGCTTCAACGCCTTAAAGCTTGGGTTCCTCTTCGTTTCTTCGGTGATGCGTCTAACGCTTCACGGGGTAGCGTCTCCTCTTCTCTCTGCGTTGTGAGGTGGGGCTGTTGATACCTCCTGTAGCGTTAGCTGGTTGGTTGGGAGCTTTTCCTTTGGCTGCGAGTCCTCGCGGCAGAGCAACATTAGCAAGTGCAGCAGCATCACTACCAGAACCAGCGGAACCGTCGTCAGCAGCAGCAACTGCATTGCAGCAACCAGATTGTCGTTTTCCTTGCTGTTGCACGGGCAGACTGTCGGTCTGTGGAGTAGCCACGGGAAGAGGCGACGCTGAACAGAGAACTACAAGGTAAAACCAAACTAAGATGGGGCTACAGAGGCTAGAAAACGTAAAACTACAGCCAACAAATCAAGGACAGATATGTCGGAAATGACTTCAAGTAGCTCACTCAGAGAGGGGCCTCGACGCTTTCGAAGGCGCAACGCTGGAGTGCGGCGGNATGCTGACCTTCCTGGCTTTGTCGGTCTTGTTCCTGGTCTTCCTGTTGTTGGAAACGTTTCTCCTGTAGCTCGTGAGGGGCTTCTATAGCGCATGAAGGCGCAAAGATTTGTTGGTGCCTTTCCACTCCTCCAATGGAGATCCGGGGTACTCTCTGTTGCATTAAGCTTCGATGCTGCAACAGTAATTTATGTTGCAGGAACAACAACTCCATTGCATCTGACGCTTGCTGGTGCTGCCTCGAGGCAGCAGCGCACTGCAGCAGCAGCAGAAGCAGCTGACCTTGCTTCCCGATATTGCCATTTTGAAACAAGTACTTCTTCGCTGTTGTTGATTGCTGCTGCTCTTCCTCAACGGAAAAATGAGACAACGAACTGAAAAAATAACTTGCCAGGAGACACTTCATTCTATCCAACATTTTTGGTGAGACATGCTGCGGAGGCCGCTGCAGCTGCACTATCAACAGAAGCAGCCTATTTGCCTTCTCAACAGCCCTGGAAATTGCCATCTGCTGCTGCAGTAAGTTCTTCTGATGCCTGACTTGATGGATCGTTGCATTTTCAGCGATCTGCTGTAGCAGTCGCCCTAATTCTTGATGTCGAGGCGGCGGTGGCTGGGACTCTGGAGCAGCTCCGGTCGTGATTGGTTCTTCTGGTTCAGAATCGTCGCTTTCCTCTGAAACCTGTAAGGCAACGAATATGGCAATGTTAAATGCATCAACACAACGGGATCATCGGGAGAACACCGCAGGTAAGGAGACAGCAGTAGGGGCACCATGACTGCCATACCTCATCACTGTGTGCTTGGTTTTGACTGCTTTGGGACTCCTGCTGCTGTTGCGGCCTCCTCAAAATCAACTCCCTCATCTCTCCTGAGAAATTCAACAATGATTAACGGAAGAGAACGACAAANGCCTCCTCAAAATCAACTCCCTCATCTCTCCTGAGAAATTCAACAATGATTAACGGAAGAGAACGACAAATGAGGGGCAGGGAGATAAAGGCCGAGATAATAGGGAATATCAGATATCAATGCATGGATGAGAGAGATATACGAGATGGTACTACCAGATATGCTATTCTTGCGGGAAAAGACAGTCACCAAGTTAAAAATTAGAGGCAGGCGTCAATGTCTCAATTGAATGAGACATACACCAGGACAGCAAAGAGGCAAGCGACGTGCGGGGAAGGCCACAGACAAAGGCTGGCAAGGCAAGGTCGCATACCGAACGTACATTGAGAAGCAACTCAGCCTTGCACTGCACTTTAGATTATTTGATCTCACGCTTCCATGTGTAATATATTTACCTTTAAAAATCATGAAGTGTTCCCATCCCGGTGATAGATGAATGCCAAGTTGATATATGAATTGGCCCTCTGTCAAGAACGCGCCTGAAAAAAAACGAAGAGCAAGTAGCCGCGAAGGTTAAGGCTTCCGCAGGGAGTGGGGGAACGACATACAACGGTGGAGCGATTAGCAAAAGGCTGTAGGGCGCACACAACAATAGGCATCCTGCTCCCTCTGGCCGGTGCCCATGTGTACAAAAGGCTGCGTCAAAATCGCTATATGTGCCTATGTCTGTATGTGTACTTTCGTGTGGACCTGTATATGAAAATGTACCAATACTTGGAATGTTTCACCTGAGNTGTCTGTATGTGTACTTTCGTGTGGACCTGTATATGAAAATGTACCAATACTTGGAATGTTTCACCTGAGTGTGTGTGCACGCATGCTGTTATTCATACATGCGTGCAGAGCTGCATCTGGCTCTGCTATTTTCTGTGTTGGATAGCGTCGCACCTCCTACAGCATTTTCTATTCTTTCTACGTGATACGTATTAAGCCTCCACAGGCTGGTGCTTGCTTCGGCATCGCCGACGCACTACACATAATATGGTATTCGCTACCTATATTATATCTGCAAATTTCCCCTTTCCTCTGCCCTATTTTACTGTGCTTTGATGAATCATGCTTTCCTCACTCTTTGTTGCATTCGCAATTTCTTCTGCCGCCTTTTTAACTCCCGCCGAAAGAAGGACATGACGGTAGATAAAGCGGTCATCAGAGTATCGCGGGGAGTAAAAGACGATCCCTTCAAAAGCGCAACCCACAAACCCCACAAGCCCACGCATCCACATACCCACAAACGCACAGGCATAACCGCAGCTGCACCCACAGGAGCTGATAGTCGAGAGCAGGTAAGTTTACAGACAACCTCAGCGCGGCATCAGCAGTCAACCAGCTAAGTACGCGAAAGTTTCTGAATGAATGAGTGTAGCCAGTAAGCCCATGCACAAGTATACAGTGAAACAAAAGCAGATACGTACGCAAGCAAACGAACCAGGAGAGAGGCATATAGACACAAGTATATTGAGGAATCTGATTCTCAAAAAAAAAAAAGTCCAGGTGCGTACTGACCAGAGGGTGTATTCTTGACAGGATATCTGCTGATATCTGATCTAATGAACTCATCATTCATTTGCTCCAACAACTGTTCGTCGACGGGAACAAATACAGCAGTGTACCGGCTCTCAGCAAGGTTGAGCAGCTCCTCACGCAAAAATGCTGCACGAGAGGCTTCTGCTGCTGCTGCCGCTGCTGCTGCTGCACCATTTGTCTCGTCGGCGGAACACGCAGGAATGGGCTTGCGGCCGCAAGCTACTGCCTCTGTTGCTGGGGAGATGGCAGCTATGGTCGCAGCTGCCGCTGCCGATGGTGGCGCCACCCGCTCAGGTAAGAGAGTCCTGGGGGACCAGGGATGGAGCGCTGCTGCAGCTTGGGCTGCCTTGTGCCGGACGCATTCGCATGCGACAGCAGCCGCGCCTGCTGCTGCTGCTATTGCCGAGACTTCTGCTGCAGCCCTATAGAATATTCCTGCTGCACGCTGGCCAGCACCGGGATTGCAAAACAAGCCCATATTAGCGGCATGCCGATGTTGCTGTCGCTGTTGCAGTTGTCGATGCAACAGCTGGGACTGAAGAGCGTTTACCTCAACACCGTTCGCTGCAACTTGAAATAATCNCCAGCTGTCGCAGGGGACGCTTGCCTTGATTGTGTTTTTGCAAGACAAGGAGAGAAATAGCATCCCGTGGGTTCATCCCCTCCACAGGCGGAGGTCGACAGCAGTGTCTCAGTCTCACATCCACTGCTGCAGTAAATACCGCTGTTTAGAGGGCTCTCTGTTGCTGATGCTGCAGATGATGGTCCTTCTGACGAGGATGCTGCTTTTCCTGGTGCCCCTGAGCGTTTACGTCGTCGTGTCCTGGTACTGTTGTTGTTGCAACTAGGATTGAAGTGTGGGATTCGTCCGCATTCATCAGCCGTATCAGTAGAACCTGCTCCTGTTGCTACTGCTGTAAAGCGTAAGTTATGTCGTGGTCGTCGAGGGCCCCTCCGTCGTTTGGGGGAGACGCAGCAGTCGCAAAGCCGTTGCAGTGGTGCAAGGCGCCGCCCAGGTCTGCAACTTTTCCTGTCAGGAATGGGAGGATCGGATGGCCGTAGATGAAGTGGGTTCGGAGGGCTTTCCGCGTCAGGATGCTGCGAGAGGCGACACGGGGGAAGGGAATGTGATACCGGGGGAACGTTAGGCTCCTGCTGATGCCTCTTTCGAGCCATAGACGGGTTCATTGCGCCCAGCTGCTGCTGTTGCAGCAGCAATTGGCGGAAGCTAGCCGTGAGGCTCCGGATGCAATACGAAAATCTCAGGAGTAAGAGTGTCCGAGGGAAAATACGGGCTTAAATGACCCAATTCCAAGACTACTTGGAGAACGCAGATGAGCCCCAAGAAGAGTAAGGCCAACTTCGAGGTCCTTCCCCCCCTTTGATCGTGCTACAAATCGAAGCGAAAAGCATGAGCTGCTGATCTATATTTGCTTCGTGGTGTAGCATCCGTACAAGTACAAACCGACCCGTAGCGAGCGCGAGACACGCATGCAACGTCAGCAGCTGTGGAGCCTTCGATGCCGGGAAATACCAGAAATATTCAGGGCTCTTGAGAAATTCGACATGATCTAGCGAAATAAAACAAAGAAAAAAGCGAACTGCGCGGGTACACAGCCGCGTAGGCGAGACACCTAGGGTCCGGCCTGTCCAGCACTACCCAGTCTGATTGCCCGCGGCGTAAGTGATGGGGGAAAGAGCAACAGATTGAGAGAAATAGCTTGTGAATCAAAATATTCAGGTAAGCATTCAGTAAGACACCTGATTTGGCGGATAGGGCCTTTGCTTAGTGGTCTAGTTCATGGTTGCGCCTCCAACAGGTAGATCCAGCCAGGGGTGGTGGCTGGTCGTCCTAGGGACACTCAAACACAGTGCTGGGAACTTCAATATATGCAGGGTCAGGGTCTACATACCATTAAAATCAGGCAAAATACAATAAATATCCGTACATTGTGGTTGTGATCAACCTAGGACACTTTTTCTGCCGTTTAGCCCACGACCCCTGTCGCTGGGCTTGTCTTGCCATCCACAGCTGCACACATAGCTTGCCTTCAACCTGCATGCCGCACGGTAGAGCTGTGATTTCGGCTCTTCTTCTTTTTTATGCATTCAATTCATGTGAACAGCGAATTGATAGTCGCTAAACTCCCCCCATATGCAATTCTGCTCGGCAGATACAAAGTTGAGTTGGTAGGGTGTTGAGAGGTCCGCCCGGCATTGGTAAATGAATTTCTACTGTCGCGCAGACTGGCTACTGATTACCAACCAAGCGTTTAATAATTATGTGCTTGCATGTGGGGTTACCCTGCAGCAGGAGTTGTAGCAAGGTGTGCTGCAACTCATGGCAAACCCCGTCTGTAAAGCGTGGTTTCTGGCCTTATTCACGGACTAAAGTGAGTTCCAATNCAACTCATGGCAAACCCCGTCTGTAAAGCGTGGTTTCTGGCCTTATTCACGGACTAAAGTGAGTTCCAATTAAGGTGACTTGGAGCAAGAGTTTCACAAAAGCATCTGACCCCGCTCCCCCGTCCCCAAACAACCTGAGCGTTCAGCTCAGGGTCTTGGGTTCCTGTGGAAGATGCAGCCTAACTGGAGTTCCAGTGCACCACGGCGCAGCGGACGATGCACGCCAGCAACACGCGTGAGCTCACGGAATTTTCAACGGAGCTTCCTTTACTGCATGATTTACCTCAGGATAAACCTATGGACCTATGGAGCGTTTCTATTTGCCTTGAGGCAACATATCAAGTCCAAGTGAATGCTCAGGTGCAAGCTGCAGGCAGACCATGTTACGCCTTCCGTATCGTGGTGTAACAAGTGTCCCGGTCCTTATCCGAGGACAGTTTCGAGTTGCAACGGAGCCAAACTATTTAAGATGAGAGTTTCAGAAAAGCAACTGAACTCTCCAGTCACCAGGAGGCCTGGGACAGGTGGCCGACGGACGTGGGGCCCTGGGAGGCGTAGTCGGGCAGCGCAAGTTCCAATGAACCCCGCTGCAGCTTGTAATGCAAGGCAACGCGACACACATACCCAACGAATCCCTACGGATGGAAGCCCTAACACTATCGACAGTTGTTGAATACTTGGTAGCCAGCCTGAGCGTATGTTGTGGCGTTGCCTGTCCGAAGTTAGAGCAGCAACAGCCACTTGGCCTTGCTAGGCTGCCGCCAAGCAGCCAAGCAAATACAACTGCTCAACAAACTGTCGCCAGAAATAGTGCATGCAGTAAAGAAAAGTTGGTTTCTCCTGCTTGCGAGGCGGTCTTGCACCAAGACTTGCAGCGAGTTTAGCTGCAACGTCTGTCAGGCCGCCTCCTCTCCCGCAACGGCAGGCCGTGAGCCGGTGACCCTCGAACGCCTAGCGACAGGGGAGGGAGCTCACATGATTTTATGTAACCCCTGTTTTAAGTATTTTGGCTTCAGTGCAGCTCGCTATGGGCAACGAATACGACCGAGAACTCTCGTTACACTTGGTAGCACAGGTGCCAGCAACGAACCCCACCCCGCCGTGGCAGCCCGCGCTAGTTTGTAGCAGCAACTGCGAAGGAAAACAAACCCTAAAGCACGTTTTACGACTCTTTACGAGCGCCCTTGTCCATCCTTTTGCATAATGGAGATTGACTGTAACGCGATTCTTATCCAGGGACAGTGGCGAGCCGCAATAACGTCGAAGTACGTCAGATGGGAGGTTCAGAA